CCCCCATAGAGGGAAGTACACCGACCCCCCCCCACCAACGAACACCTCCAACTCACGCTCGTCTGTGGCTAAGCGGCCCTTGGTTTGCTTCAAAAGGGCTGTGAGGGACACGAGGTTGTAATTCAGCTCCGGCACATGAGCGACCCGTTTCAACAGCAGGTCTGTGGTCCCAACGCGAGAACCGATGGTCACCCTCACGTCGCCGTAGCCTACTATGGCGAAGGCTTGCTTCCCTGCGGCGACACTCAAACGTCGATCGCACTCATGGTAGTTTTCGAACGCGTTAGCGCTCGGGAACATGTGGTTGGTTGCGCCGGTATCGGCCACAAACCTTTCCTGCCTGGCCTGCTCTACACCCCCTCGATCAACGACTCTGTTCCACTCGCCTGTGAAGTCACGGACCACTAGCGCCTCCTCTGCCACGTCCAGTGCGGTGGCGTCCAAGACCGGCAGCTCCACCGCGAGCACCGCCTGCTCGGACGAGCACTTGCTCTTGTCGTGTCCGTAGCCCAGGCATTTCTGGCATCGCAGGGGCTCGGGCTTGGAACAGGCGGCCGACTGGTGACCCTTCTCTCCGCACCGGAAGCAGCGACCGTGCATGCTACCTGCACCGCCGCCGCCGCCTCCGCCGCTGTTGCCACCACCACCGCCCTTGCTACCACCCCCTTTCCCCTTTTGGCTGCCACCGCCGCCGCCGCCTCCGCCGCTGTTGCCACCACCACCGCCCTTGCTACCACCCCCTTTCCCCTTTTGGCTGCCACCGCCGCCGCCGCCTCCGCCGCTGTTGCCACCACCACCGCCCTTGCTACCACCCCCTTTCCCCTTTTGACTGCCACCGCCGTCGCCGCCGCCCTTGTTGCGGTCGCCGCTGCTGCGGCCGGGCGCTCCGCCCCTGTTGCTACCGTCGTTCGCGAGGAAAGCATGCTCCGCCTTCCGCTGGCCCTTCGTGGCCCTCCTCCCCTCCGGGAGGCTCGCGTGCACGGTACTGACGACCCTGATTATCTCGCCCCGGTCCAGAGTTGTAGCCGTCTCCAACAAGAATTTGGCTTGTTGGTACTCGGGTGGAAGGGCATCGACAAAGTGTGCGAGAACAAAGGGTGTGTCAGCGTTGAGCCCTTTTTCCCGCAGTCGTGAGTACAGCAGCTCGAGCGTGTATAGATGCTCGACAGGGTTGCTGTTGCTGTGTGCGGGGATCGTGAATTTGAACATCTTCTTCATCAGGGCTTGTTTCGAGCCCTGCGACTCCGGGTTGTGTACTCTGTCGAGTTCCGCAAGAATCTCCTTTGCGGTCACAATTTATTCACGATTGCCTTGTCGGCTTCTCGGACGATGGCTGTAGTCACAAAGTGGAACGCCTGGAGGCCCCTCTGAACCTCATCACTTGTGTAGCCCAAGCTATACAGCTCCGAGCTAGGCCTGTTTGGGTCACCGACGGGTGCGTGCTTCTCGGCGTTGCCGATAAGCTGCCCGTCCAAGCCTACGGTTTTCGCGGCTTGAATAAGTGCCTTTCTCCACGAGTCGTACCCGTGGCCGCGACTCTCCCCTTCGAGACGCGGTGCATTGACCGTAACACGTTTTTGGCTACTGCTGCTGTACCCATCGAAAAATACTCCGGCCCCTCGAATTGCGGCTTGCTCACCTTGGGGGGTTAATCCGCTCGCTTCCCCGCGGTCCGGTCCTACGCCCGGGCTCATTCCGGCTGGCCCCTCAGGATTCGCTCCCGATCTACTTGTCCAGCCAGCCGGCACTCTCGCTGGAACCCCAGGACTCGCTCCCGGTATGTTGTCCCACCTGCTTTCCCGCGGGTGATTTCGCCCATCACGGGCCGTTTCCCACGGAAATGTCCCGCCGCCCCCGGGGGGCAGAGCCTCTCTCTGGCTTGGGACGGCAGCACCGCCGCCCCTACTGGCATCGCCCGCCACGGCGTCACCAGGCTCCTTCCTCTTCAACTCCATCACTACGCTCATCAGCTGCGATAACTGGCCCTCCAGCCTCGCAATCGCCGGATTCTCGGCGTGTTGCTGTTGCGTGGCTGAGGTCTCTTCCCCCAGCCCTCGGACGGAACCGCTGTCCGACGCAGACATCACCCGATGCGGCTATCCCTCGAGGGACAAATCAACTCTAGAGTGTTTGTCGGCCGTACTCCGCGTACTTATCGGGACTTGTTTGTGTAGTGCATTAACTTCAGACGGTGAGACAACGCCCGTACCCAGGACGCTGTCGTGCTCGGAAAGGAGGAGGAGAGAGAGAGAGAGAGAGAGAGAATAGCAGCACGGCTGCTGCACTCAACCAAGGGGGTCCCGGTGCTTCATCACCGTACCCCTACCTTAAAGGTTCTACACTATCTGCGTCACACTTGTACGCACGGGTAATGTATCCACCAATGTCCGTAGACCTGCGTAGACCCACGAACAGCAAGAACTGACTCTATTCTACTGCAGGGTTTGGTGCAGTATGGTGAAGGCGTGTAATCCAAGTCTGTAACCGTCAGGTGAAGACAGCTTGGACGCCGATGTGTGAAATAAATAGTGATCACTCTGTGTTTCTCTACCCAAGCCTCTTGCGTCACATACGCCAACCACAACGTACAACAGCGGTGAGGTCCCGCTATAACGCCCAACACCAAGTGGGTTGATGAGCTGTTTTTGGTCGAGATTCTGCTTGATTTTTCATTGATGCACAGGTTGAGGGGGGCACCCTTCCCTGCGATGTAATTGGTTGCCCTTGAGAATAATGTAGCGTTGGTTATCTGTTTTGGATCGACAACGGTGCTCGGGGTTGTAGACGAGCCCCGGTGCTGACGGCAAATTGATACAGTAGGGATCCCGTTGACGGGAGGGGACTGCTTGAAAAGGAGTAGTGAAGATGTCTGTAACCAGTGCCTCCCGTAGCGATGTACCATCAAGTTTGCTGAAGAACTGTTTGCGGTTGCGTACTGCTGGGTCTACCTCTGATTTACAGGGGCACCTCTCCCTGCGATTTGATAGACTACCCTTACCGTCAGTTGGGAGCGATGTAGCGTCAGATATTTTTTCGTTTCCCCTGTGATGAGCGATGTACCGTCAGATCTTTCGTTTTTCCGCTGCTACTTGGGCATTGGTGCTTGGGGCTGTAGGCGCGCCCCGGTGCTAACAGCAACTTGATACAGGAGGGATCTCGTTGCTGGGAGGGGGCTACTTGAAGGGGGAGGGTTTTGATCCGGTGGCCAGGTTTCCCTTCGTTTATTTTGCTTTTCAATAAGTACCCTGTGTTGGTATGTCCGGACTTGGGAGGAGAAGACACGCTTTAACTCTCTCTGATTAGGCACCCGCGGGAGCGAGGAAAGGAAGGGAAGAAGTGGCCCTCCCGAATTCGGGGAAGGGGGCCCACACATAGTAGCCTTTTTCAGGCATACGCATGCTCCTGTCTACGTACCCCCCCGTGCTGCTAGCAGATCTACCATGCTCGTATCCAGACACACGAACACCCTCCCCGGTTCTTCAAGCTATTGACAAACCATCAGTGGGGCATGGATACTCCAGATCTACTTAAGTTACTCATACAACAACGGGTGCAAGGGAAAAACTCGGCCATCCGGATCAAAAACCCTCGCCTACAAACTCAAGACATAACAGAAACCGTGACTATCACGAAGGATTCCAACGGCCGCACTATCAGGGCAGGACCAAGGCAGGACAGATTGGACAGGCCACGCTGATTACACACCCGAAGCAATTGGTCAAAAACCCTAAGCTCCCGCCGCGGGTGACGCCCCTGCCCAACGCTTCCTGCGTGACATACCATGGTCCGACACGCGCCCAGTGCTAGAACAAAACAAAACAAACGGCAAGAAAACGAGACCAGAACCCTACATCGGCAGGTTCATCAGAGCCTTCCGGTGGTACTCCAACTTGCCCCTACCAAGTACCTTAGTCAGTATATCGGCGTGCTGCTCTTCTGTCGAGACATAATCACGCTCTTCCTCGGTCGCGGACAACATGATGTCATCCACGTAGATCACGATGAGACCTACGACTTCTCCGTCAACCACCTTGCGGAAAATGCAGGGGTCCACCCTGCACTGCTCGTAGCCGTTTGAGATCAGGGCATCGGCAGCCTCAAATCCCCACTCGCGCCCACTCTGCTTGAGTCCATACAGAGCACGCTCGACTTTCACCGCCTTGCCAGTCCAAACACCACAACCGTCTGGAAGCCTCAG